ATCTTTTAAAAAATAATTACTAAAAACATTTCATCGAACATGAACCATTTTTAATTTAAACATGGATATAAATTAACAGTACATTTATGATTTATTTATTTTTAAATCACTGTCCTACCTCTTTTTTTAAAACATGGTATGAATGATAAAGAAAAATATAATTTCATAATAATAGAAAATATCTTTTTTTTTTAAATTATTTTTTTAAAACTAAACTGATTTGATGGTAAATCCAAAACCTAAATTAATCTAATTTTTTTTTTTATCCAAAACCTAAATTAATCTAATTTTTTTAAAAAAAAAAACTCAGTTAATCTAGTCAATCTAGCCTTGACTCTTCAAAGCTTGACCACCAATTGTTGGATTTTTTTTATTTATTAAAATAATATTATTTTTATTTTTTTTAAATAAAAATCGAATGGATGCTTTTAACCTGGAAACCAGGCCTCGCCTTGGATTGATACCCGATGCCCAAATCAGCTTTTTAACTATGAAATAAATATTGAATAACAATGAACTCTTGTAGAAGGATCATAAGAATTGCAAAACACACAAGGACTCAATCAAATAAAAAAAAGTATCGGAACTTAATCAAAAACCTTCGAAGAATACAGGGACTAAAGTTTAATGAAGAAGACAAATCTTATAAATCATCGTATTGAACCCCAAAAAGCCACCGCAGCAGAGAGGAGTCCCACAGAGAATCGGTGGTCGGTTAAGCGTCTCAGCCTCTCAGGCCCGCCATAGCTATTATTTCACAGTTTAGCGAGAGCTTAAAGAAGAAGGAAGAAAAACACAGAAGAAACAGCTTGATGGGAACCAAGCACAAGTGCCAAGTCTGTCATGAAGCTGAATCTAAGTACAAGTGCCCTTCTTGTCGTGTTCCATAGTAAGCAACAAAACCAGACTCATTGGCTTGCTGTTTTCTTTTGGACAGGATACAGCTTTTCTTTATCTTTTGATGGAATTCTTGTTTTTCTTTTTTGCAGCTGTTCTCTTGTCTGCTTCACCAAACATAAAGGTATTTTCTTTTTTTATTGTTTTATCTTATTTTTCTTTCTTTATTTCAGTATCTTGAACTTGAGGAAGTATCATGCTTGGAAATATATTCGGAATCCCAGGTGAATTATCAATTTATTTATTTATGATTGTTAGAAGAATGGAGAAGATATGAAGCATGCTTTTTTGGAGTTTATTTGGGATAGATGATAACTAGAATAATTAGAGGCAGAACACAAAGTTGCTATTAGGGGATGTTAGGCTTTCTTTTGATTTTACAGACCGGGGCACGGAATATGAACATAGAAAATATGAGGTGGTGGGAGCAATGAAGTTTGCTTTTTGGCAGTAATTAGTGGTACTTGTTTACTGATTTGTGAGGATGTTGCTGGAAACTTTTGTTACACATGAGGTTTGAAGAAAAACTTATCATTTTATAATTCAGAGGGGAAAGAAAACCTTTCAGAGGTTGAGGCTTCTGGCCTAGTTTAGATTTAGGTAAAGCTGACCAGAGTTTATTGTATCACATATTTTTCATACTGCTATTGTTGGAAGTGGCATGGTATCTGGTACATGGACTAATGTGAGTTTTAAATGAATGGTGCAGAAACCCCTTGTGCAATACCAGTACCTGTGGAGGAAAAGCCAGGTAAGATTTTGTTCCTCGATGAATGTTGATGGATGATGTGATTCAGTGCTGTACTTCATGTTCTTGCAACTTTGTGATGTGTTTTTTAATTACATGGTTCGTTTCTCCTTGCCACCTCCTTATATATACTCTGTAGGCTGCCTGTAGCTCTATAACGATTAAAACTTTTAACAGAACAGAATATAACTGTTAATGTCCTTTCAGCTCAAGGAACTTCATTGTTATATGATACTTAATTCAAGATTTTATCTGAGGAGTTTATATTTGGAATTTTGTTTTACTTTGAATTTGTCAGTTGCTGATGTGAAAGTGGTGGAAAAAAGGCCAGTTAAAGTTGATGAACCGGGCGAGGTGCTGCTAAAGTTGCAACTAGAGTCTATAGGTATGTTCTTGTGACGATTGTTGAAGGCGATACTTTTAATATTTCTTTGTAGGAGAGATAATTTGCACTTACTGTCACATCGTTTGTAAAGAAGCTTTTAAAGGCTGAGGAAAGTGACTGCCTTCTATTTCCCCCCCAATTTCTCCATGTTTCAAGCAATACAGAGGCTCTTGAAGTTACAGCCGCACGGATTTTATGCTGATGTCTAGGTTAATAAGCATCAAACTTTCAAAAACATGGTAAAATGAAGCAAATTCAGAGCGACTAGGATACACATTCAGAAAAATAGTTCTTGCCAAATGCCATTGGTTCTCAATTAGAATGATTTGCAGTCAGCATTTTGTAAATTAAAATAGAAAGCATTCACAACTATGTGTGAGGTTTGCTCCTTGTAAGGCTACTCTATGAACCACTCTAAAGTACTTGTGAACCAAATAGGTGAACATGTTTCTTGTTTCTGCTTTTACAATTTATACTTTAGGTATTTAAACTACCATTACATGTGTGAGGGCTCTGCCTGTTTGTTAATTGACAAAAAAAATTATCCCTAGTTTTCTGGTTCACACTGTTCATATCTTGTCCCGCAGCTCCTTGTTAAAACAACCATATCTCTGATCCTGTTCCCATTGATATATCTTGGTCTCTTCTAGCATTGATGTATAAGTTTGGTCATTAATTGGCGTAGTGTGCAGTGCAATGAATGACTAATCATGTTTGCATATTTTATCTTTTAATTTGCTAGTTGCATGTCTTTGTTATGTGTTACTTTATTTATAATTGTTAATTGCCTAGTGACATAATAAATTATTTGGGAATACAAGATTCTTTTATCTCGACACATATGTTATACGACAGAAGTTCAATGTTGTCTGATTAAGATAACTGGTCAGGGTTAGGAGCATTACTAGGTCCTAATATTTTAATTCCTGAAACCATGACTGGTAAGATGCTCTTCTACAAGGAATGAATGATTGTCTTCTTTGGCATGCAGCTTCTTCCAGTGAAATTCGTAATGATTTGATGGATGAGAGCCTTCAAAAACTCATACATAAGATCGATTGTTCCACGGACCCAGAAACTGTAAGTAATCTGATTTCCACTTAAATGTGAGGAAGATGTCCTGTTAAAACCTGTTGTTTCCTCTGGTAGGAACTCGACGTAGCTATGGGAGTTGATGTATTCCGCATTTTCACCGACAAGGTAGCTACCTTATATTGCCAATTAGAGTTTAACATTCAGAGCTATAATGGTGAATACTTATTGATAATGATGTTGCACTGCTTTTTCTCTGTTCCCAGATTCTGTCTGCTATTGGTTCATGACTGCCAGCATTTATAGACAGAAGCGGAAGACATGGCTTGGGAGAACTTCGACATTCTGTATGATGTGTGCCTGGTATATTTTGCGCTATAATCTTTGAGCCCGTTCAACCGTTTCCAAAGTTTTGAGAAACTTATGGATGTGTTTAGCAATGTAAAATTATTTTCCTTTCCCAGTTTTCTTCGCCTTATCTAATGAAAAATTGAAAAAACGTGTTCATTTCTTGAAAACAAAGATGAGTTTTCACTTAAAAAATACATCGAGATTACAACTATTTTTTTTTTACAAGTAAAAATTATTATGAAAAAGAAAATTATACTGTAACTCCAAAAAAACAAATCCTTTTAAATTATAATAAAAAGTAAATTTATGACACTAACTATATATAAAAATGTTAAAAAGGTAATTTTAATATCTTATGTTGCTAAAAAAATCCAATTTTTCACATTTTTTCATTTGAATAGCAGTGAAAAACTTATAAAAAGAATATTAAAGAGAATTAGTAGAATGTGTTTTCCAAACCAAAAAAGTAGTTTTTTTAATGAAATATTATATTTTAAAAGGAAGTTTTGTTTATTTATTTTTCCTTGACAGCCTTAGTGTGATGATTCCCCTCTGCAATCACCTTGTCCCTTTGTCATATTGTTGTTGGGATTTACTAGTGAGGAGAATGTCGTTCACAAAATCCTCACCAACATTAAGAAATAGAGGATGTGATGATGCATGCTCCCATTGTTAAACTTTCCTATCCTGTATGAGCAAGCAAAGCATTCCTTGTATCAGACGTTGAAATCTCTTCTGACAAGGAAAAGTAACCCTAGCAGATTTCACACAAGGGCATATCCTAGGAGACCTAAGGGAAAATAGCATTAGACAACAAGTTTTGGTCCACAACATCACTTGTCTGGACTCCATGGTTCGAGGGTTTATGATCACACAAATTATTCCGTTCTGATACATGATATCTTGTATGGCAAAGTTTTCAATGAATCAAAACTTGATAAGTCTCTTTTGAAAGCAACTAATGGACCAGGATTCTCGAGTTTTGGAATCAAAAAGTAGCCACGCGGTTTAACTTGGGTAAACTTGAATGACTCTGTGATGATGTTAAAATCATGTTATTTTATTTTATTTTATTTTAAATAATAATATTTTTTTTTATTTACATGGGTGTTCGGGTCACCTTGCGTGCACCACGACTAATCTCACGGCCCACTGAATATCCTGCAAACCTAATAAAAATGTAAGGCACCGCAAGTATAACAGACATGCACAATAAAATTCAAACCTAAATGTAAAAAAAAGAAATATTTAAATAATAATGTTTTGATTAATCCGAGTTAACCCACCCAGTCTAGGAGAGTTTATTAACTTCAATAAAAAATTCTCTTTTCAACTTTATTTTATTCACAGGTTGAGATTTTCAGATCATGAATCTGAAGAGACATGTCCTTCTTTTCATAACAAAAGTTGACAGCAGAAAAATTATGTATGGGAAAGCCAGTTCAGCGTCACCAGCCTGGATTCAAGGTTTCATCTCTGTTCAAGAGGTTGTAAGCCCCCTTAATTAGACTTGGTATTCATAATGTTCTATCATCCACCATATTTCACTGATTTTGAGTAATAAAAATGCTAACATAAGAGAGAACAGAAGTAAAAGAGATTTGAGAAAATTGGATTCTATTGGAGTGTAATAATTACATGTTAGCTGTGTTATGGTTGTATTAGACAGTTGAAAAAATAGCAGCTCTCTCCAATGTTGCTCTCTTACGCTACAAAACTTCAACCTGCTAAGCACAAGAAGCACCGTCATTACTACATGTGTTCTCGAGGAGGGGCAAGCCACAAGCAATCCATAGACACAACTGATACAATAACGCACTACCAATATGAGAGACCAAGACCAGCTACAAAATGTAGTGCCTTGAGTTGTTAATCATTAGCCAACTAGGGATTCTATTATCAGCATATCATGTCGATTCAGGAAAAGGTTGACAACATTCAGAATCTCACCAAGAGCGATCCTTTCATGCAACTCCTGAATTGAATCTATCCCATGATTTTTAAGCATAACCTCAACAACATATCATTCAATATAAACAGAACATGGAGAACCGAGTAGTAAATCCATATCATTTGGCTTTGATTGGTGGGAGGAATAGTGAAGTGAAAAGAGGGAAAGGGGGGGGGAGGAAAAGAAAATTGGAGAAATCCTGTAATTCAGTCGCGTTAGCACAACTTTTGAGAAGGGCTCTATTGAGATAAAGGTGGACAACCACGTAGCGGGCGTAACTCCATTTATTACTTTCCCCATTTTCCACTCCTGTTTTTCAGCCTGACTTGAAGGAAAAGCATGAGCCATTTTTTTTCCCATCACATTCTAAAAGAGAACCAATTAAGCCATCCAAGACACGACACAACGGTCACAAGCCAAAAACAGCACTGTGACACCAACAGATACATTCCTATCTCAACTTATTCCGTTTATTTATTTCTATATCATATCCAATGTTGACCGTAAGAGGATAGATATATGATAGAGCATCTTACCTGACTGGTGATTGCCAAGATTCTCAGCTCCTCGACTAGTACTTGGCTTGCTGGTACTTGGCTGAGCCATAGCTTGGTTCTGCAAACAAAAGCGGGCTTACCAACATGGTAACAACCAGAGCTTCTAAAACAAAATGATGATGGGATGGCTTCGATTAAATTGATCCTGAGCTTGCTCAGAACATAAAACAATATGATTGATTGGGAAAAAAAACGATTTGGAAAGTTTGTATCCCCACCCTAGACATGTCCATGAAGTAACAAGCTCAGGCCTGAAAAACAAAAGAACTCTTCAAAGAACTATAGTTGAAAATCTAATATGTCAAATAATGAAGTCGGGCCAGAACATATATGGATGCAAATCTTCCTTGTGTATGTTTATTTGCATTTTGCTTGCAATAAAGACCACCCACGATCAAACATGAAACAACTGAAAGCTTGGCAATTTCTTGTCAAGAAGTGATAATACAATGGTGAACAAAGATATAAACACATAAAAGCTCTTGTTAAGTTGATGTAAAATGAGAAGCTTAAAAAGAATAAGTGTATAAATACCTGTGCTACTCCTGGTAAATGCATCTGGTAGAGGCCAAGATAGTGCTGATATGGATCAACAAAATTTGGGACTCGTGGCTGGTTTGGATTCTGTTGACCTGGTGAGCCTAGCATAGGATCTAACTGGCTGGTTGGTTCGACTCTGGATGGATCAGGAGCAGGGATGGGGGGCACATGAAAGGGCGGCACAGAGAACCCAGGGACCAAATGAGCTGCTGCAACTGGTGTTGCTGAGGATGCACCCGCCAAAATATTGGGAAATGGCATCATTGGCCGACTCAATCCCATTTCCATGCCCATGCCCATCCCTATCCCCATTGGCGGCATGTACTGCTGGAATCCAGGAAACATCATGGGGACCATGCTGCATCCCATAGACATCATCTGCAAAAAATAATCAGAATCTAATGCTAGCTGTATCTAATGCATGAGCTCAGATTGTAGCAGTCAAATTTTAAGGCAGGCATACCATGGATATGCTTGCAAAAATAAAATAGATAATTTTATCTATGAATTATAAAAATTATGAGAAGCCCATCCTGCAGAGACAACACTCTTTTTTCCCTGAGAGAACATATTGTCATTAATGTCTTAATTACTACCCTAGAAATCACCTAATACTTATTGCCGAGGTAAACAAAAACTTAGGGAAACCATATCTACAAGGCAAGATCAATGGTGGTGTGTAAGATTACACTTTAGTTTCTTCTTAAAAAGAAATGCAGTCTTTCTAAATTTAAATTGGACCAAACCCCTAGGTTTTTCAAAATTTCACCAGATCATGGAATTAGGCAGACTTTTTCTTCATTAATTTCACTATGACATAATCCCTGAGAGAGGGAGAGATATTGTGTTAATAATTCTCGAGCACGCGAACAGAAGAAAACTTTGCTGTGTGGAAAATATTGAACTCACACTCTCTCCTATTTGCCAAAGACACCATCCCCCACCCCCTTCCCCAAACCCAAAAATAAATAAATAAATAAATAAATCAGAAGGGCTTTAGAAATAGATGTCGAATCCACCATCCATCCCAGCACAAACACCAAACTGACTAATAGAGCAACCTTGCATTGCAAGCTTGGCAAGTTTTGACAAATAGTTAATTATTCTAATCACCTTCATTGGCAGGTCATTACGATACATGCATATCCTCTCAACTTTCAAGGATCCATTTGGAAAATGGAGTTGAATTAGGCATTCTGAATGCAGGAAATTGTAGTCCCATATTCATGGCATATGATATGTGTTCATAGAAACATGCAATGCAGCGAATGCAAGAAAAGGATAGCTGACTCGAATGCGGTACAAACAACTCATCTAGATACCATCCTCCAATAATATAGAACCATCAATTGTGCTAACTCACAGTTTATTGGATGCAGAGTTATTTCAAACCCTAACCATTCTTTCAAAACATGTTTTATCTAAGGGAACCCCAATGAAACATAAGATAGGAAATATACACCTGTACTTGCAACTGAAGCGATTTCAGGTACTCAATTGCCTCATCTAACATAGAAGCTTTGTCCGACTGAAAATTGGTAAGCGAGGAGAAAACTCATTACAAGGGGCAGATAAACGAGGAGAAGTGCGATAACATAAAAATTGATCTTCAGCAAGATGAGAGAACCTTGTTGCAACGAGGTATGAGCTCTTGCAAAGCCCTCATCTTTTCATTGATCCGATCTCTGCGTCTCTGCAAGAATGTAGGGTCACTTCGTGTAAGGACGCCGACCACATGGAAAGCAACCAATTCATCAACAATTCGACAATAGTAGTAGCAGTACAAACCCTTTCTGATAGGTTGTGAACTTCTGCTGCACGAGATCTCTTCGAAGACATTGATCCCCGAATTTGTTTCTTTGCATCAGCAGATTCAAACTCAGCATCCTTGAAGGGAAAAAGAAAAGGGAGATCGTATTAAAGACTAATGGAAGAAAGAAATGATGAAATGCAATACCATTCCATGCATGCACGCTTCCTTTATCTGAAAGACCTTAAGTGGATTTGCGGCATCTCTCTACCCTGAAGAGGTTTCGAGCTGTCGATCGAGTTGGAGTTTTAAAGCACCAAAATGGCACAAACACAATTCAATAATCACGCAGCTCGAGTTCCTGTACAAATTTTGCCATTCTAGATCGCACCTGCACTGTTTTGGGTTTTCTGCCTGATTGCTACTGACCGAGGTTGATTACCAAGTGCCATTGCAATGGTTATTGCGTTTGCGCTTTTTTTTTTGAAAAAAAAAACCCGTACAAATTATAGTTTTCTTTAACTCCAGTTTTTATGATGAAAAGCAGATTTAAACAATCAAAACCAAATAATTTTTAAAATTATAGTCAATTTAAAAGCATCTTCAACCACATATCATACGACACCATTGTTCACTCAATCATGAGATAAGGATATTTAACGTTCGTAGAAGGATGCAAAACCTTATCCTATCAAATTTCTATAAGTCCATTTAAGAATATTAATCCGAGATCAATCCAACCTGATATAATTAAATATACATCAAATTAAATTGTAAGTTAATATATATATATATATATATATATATATATGTTTTCAGGACTAATTTAAACATAACAAATACCTTACATTTTTTTTATATGTTTATCTTTACTTTTCAAAAATACTTTTCAAAAAATTAATTTTTTTCATTTAAAAATATCAGAAATAAATTTTAAATAATAAAAAATAGTATAGAATTTTAAATAAAAAAATATTTTAAAAAACAATTAATGTTTTTTTAATATTTAAAAAAATGTAAAGAAAATCCGGAATTAAAAAAACGTGCTCACGTTTACCAACGTCACTTGCTCGGCGCACGATAGCCAGGGACATGATAATATTGCCCAATTTGTTATTATTTTTTAATAATGATTTAATAATAAAACATTAAACATACATATGGTACTTAACTCGGTAATTAACAAAAGATTGACTCATTTACCTCGCTATGGCACTCAGCTTCCTCTTCTCTTCCCTTCCGCTTCCGGTCTTCCACTGGAGACATCAGAGCCGGCGGCTCAGCGCTAGCACTCGAGCAATCAGGTGATGACGTGGAGGTCATCTCACAAGGATTCGTCACCATCTCTCTATTACTTGAGGGAGCACTGGAAACCGTGCCTGCTACAGCAGTGCAGTTCATGGTCCCACACGTGTTATCCGCACTTCTAGCAAACGGCGTCTCCGAAATTCTTGCTGTTGGAGTCTCACACGAGTCCACAACTGTCGATTCCCTCACCACGCTCTTCGAATTAGACGGTCCAGATTCCGAAACTCCTCCCGCTCGGTGCCTCGAGAAGTACGCGAAGTTCTGCGCCACCCCCTCCCCTCTCCTCCCCGGCGGTATCGGCGGCCTCGGAGCCGATACCGTGGCATAAACCGCCGGATAGCTCCTAGCTTCCGTTCTCTGAGTCGCACCTCGAACAGGAGACGCCGCGGCTTTGGTGACAGCAGCTTCCCTGGTGATGGAAACTGTGGAAGCTGTGGGAGGATATAGCAAATCGGCGCAGAAATCATGGTCGAAATTGGTGTCGTTTAGAGGATGATTAAGCCAAGAAGCCATCTCATCTTCTTGCATAAAAAGATGATGATGTTCTTGTTGTTGATCATGTGATGATCGGATCTCTTTAGTGCCAGGTAATTGATCAGCTGGGAGCACCGCATCATCCAACTTGGACAGTGGAGAAGATGATTTCTTTTGAGATCTTTGACTGTGCATCACTACTTGGCCGTTCTGCCATAGTAGCTCCATGATCTCTTCTTCCTGCCTGCACTTCATCAAGCACGCAAATCACTTCATCAAATAACATAATAATCAAAGTGAGAATGGATTTAAAAGAAAAGAAAAGGGAATTACATGGCTGTTTTTCTGGGGCGAGTATGGGTTGAAGGAGGAGGTGGGAGAGAGTAATCATCGTCCATTTCAAAATCAGGGACATAAGGGTTCATGGTGTCTTTCTTTTCTTAGCAGCTGCTATGGAGGAGATGAGAGAGATGCAAGGTGACAAGTGCTTTGACCAATAGACTCAACTGTGAAATAAATAGCGATATTATTGTTATGGCGATAATTGGTCAGTTGGCAAAATCATGGAGACAATTGTCAAGTACTGCCACCAAAGGCAACAGCACCCGCTTGCTGCTGCTTAAACATGTCTGGACTGCTGTAACCAACAGATCAGAGCTACAGCTTGTTTTCTCTCTTTTTCACATACAATTTTTTCTTGCCGATGCTCGAGACACGTTTCGGTGAAATTGTATTTATGGATGTGTGCATGGTTATTAAACCTACTTTTGGATAGGTGAATTTACTCGGCAAATATGTTAGTTTTGATCATAATGACGACCCGGTCAGTGATCCAGTGGATTGATCCATCACTTGTATGATATTAAACTCACCAAATTAGTGATCCGAAACTTGATCAAATCCAAATTTAATATGGTTGATATTAAATTTGGTAAGGCTAGATGGATTGAACAACAAACACATGATTCATGATTTAGTATGGATTTATTTTAATTTAGATCGATTTTGATTTTGACCTAACTAAACTTAGATTATCTTGAGGGTTTGATTTGTGACTAATTAAAATAAAGTAACATTTTTTAAGAAAAAGCATTGTTTAATTTAGACAAAAATAATAAATATTAATTGACCCGAAAACTTTTAAGTTGATCTGATGACCCAGGTTTTTTTGACATTAAACGCGGTTTGATAAGTATGGTTGTACATCTACGTGAGAGACTGGCTAGAAATTGGAAATGGGGAAGTTTCTTTTCCTTTCACGGATTTTCTGTTGGCTGCTCGTGCTGGCTCATGAATTCTTGACTGTCTGAGCTCAAGATAAGGTGCCTCTCTCTCACTCTGACACACACATGGTGTATAAGGACTGCGAGCACTGTGAAGATAGAAAAAAGGACGAGATTGTATAAGGACTGCGAGCACTGTGAAGATAAAAAAAAAAAAGGACGAGACTTTTTTGTTTCTTCTTTCCCGAGGCTCTGTTTTCAACTCAGGATGAGGCCATCTGGGGCCATTCATTCATACGCAGCATGAGCTCAACAGGGCTTGCTCGCTTGCAGTAAATGCAACCTTGTTTTATCCAATAGCAGAAACTTAGCGGCGATGTAGTGGTAGTGTCGCCCCTGTCACATTCCTCGTTTTGTCAACAGATAGATGCCAAGTATTCTGGTGCCCCTGCAGATCTCTGGTGCTGCAGACAGACAATTTGTTGCTACCTAGGGTTTTGAGTCGAAGTAGCCATCCCATGTATAGACTAAAATTCACTTTGGTACAATTTTAACTTTTTTTTTTTATTATTATTATTAACATCAAAATAAACTTAAATACATTTTAATTAATCTTATAAATTTTAAAATTAACAACTATATAAATTTTTAATAATTTTAAAATTTATAAAATTCATATTAATAATATTTATAAAATAAACTTAATATTTAACTAATTAAATTTATCTTTTATTTTTTTTAATCTTTGACCCCTTTGTTGATTTGTCACCCCCACCTCCCTCACTCATGCACTTCAAGTTCAAGATTAGATCTTAGGTTACGAGTGTTTGAGAGTGATTTTTTATTTAAAAATATATTAAAATAATATTATTTTTTTTTTAAATCAAAATAATTTGAAAATATTAAAAAATATTAATTTAAAACAAAGAAAAAAATTTATATTTTTTAAAAGTATTTTTGAAATATAAAAACAAACAGGTAAAATATTCTTAATTTAAAATGATATTTTTTTTATTTTTTTTATAAAAACTTTTTTTTAAATAAAATAATTATAGTTTTTGATAAAAATTAAAAAAACCTTAAAATTAATCCGAATAGATTTCATCTATATTTGACTGAATCATTTAACTCGTGAGGTTAATTCTCACATGATTTGAAAAGGAATTCGGCCCAATCAAATTGTAAGTCGACAAGTTACATAGATCTCAGGTCACTTCACCGGACCTATCTAGGTTTTATATCTATGGCTATGGCAACGTGGAGGAGCTAGAATGCATCTGGAAAACATGATGATCAAAAGGAAAGCTAGCAAGGAGATCGGAGGTTAATATGAACAGTAGATTATGTGCTCTCCCACCCTTTTCAAAGTGGACGGGCACTTTTTACGTCAGAAGTTCTTTAGGCGAAAAGTAGACGTTAGCAAGAATAGACGTGCGGTTAAACCGTTAATTGTCATTTTCTAGTTAAAAACAATCCCATTAGGCGTGCGATTAATTAAATAATAAAACTTTTCAAAACAAATAATTGATTAGTTAAATAGCTGGGGTCAACTTCCAATCATTTAGCACTAATAAAGAATTCAAAAGAGTATTAGAGTTAATAGCTTTTCTATCAAACTTAACTCAACACAACATGAACATATATACAATTTTTTAAAATATATACATTTCTATATAAATATAATATTTATCATTTTATTATTTAATTCTAAGATTTTAACTGGTTCGAGTTGAAAAAAATAACTTAATTAAATATTCAAAAATAAAAACTAGTTAGATTCTCAAATATAATAAAAAAATAATTTTGATAAAAATAAAATTGATGTTTGAAAAACCTTCAAATGAAAATCTTAGATGTTTCATGATTATTGATTCTAAAAATATAAATTACATGAAAAATAAAAATAATTTTAGGAGTTTTATTATTAAAATATAAAATTTTGATAATTATAGATTTGATCAATAGTAAAGAGCAATCAAAATGTAATTAAAATTAAACCTTAATTTTTCTTTTAAATGTTAATTTCTATTAAAAATATTAATTGGAAAATGAGATAATTATTTAATATCATATTTTTTAATCATAATTTTTTATATCTTTTTTTTTGAAACTCTAATTTAAAAAACAAATAATGGATGTTATTTCACCAAATTTCTTGAAATTTTTAATGCTAGCCGCCAACATAGCCAAAGTAGAAACATGGGAGTTGGATAAAAATAGAACGACGAGGCAGCACGCCATCAATTTTTGCTTCGTAAGGCGTGCAAACGTGGCAAGGACTTAGCGTGCCATGTTGGCCGGTTAGCAGACATCAACGATCCCATGCGGGTATTAGGTTAGCAGACATCAACGATCCCATGCGGGTGCGCCCCCACTTACATTTTCTTTTTCTTTTTCCTTTTCTTTTAATAAAAGAAAATTATACAAATAAATAGTATTAGTAATTAAAAAATAATAATGATCAATTTTTTTTTTAATAGTTGTGATGAGACATTTTTATTTATAAATAATTTACGAGATCAAATTTTCTTGTGAAGATTTCGAACGTAAAAAATATTATATTATAAGAGAAGATTGCATTAATTTTTCATATATCTTAGAAATAATAATGTTAAATATCAAGAAACTATAACAAATTAATAATCTTATATATGATATATCTATCACATAAATAAAAAAGTATTATATTATAAGAGAAGATCACTTTAAATTTGTATTCATCCTAGAAATAATAATGCTAAATATCAAGAAAATATAACAAGTAATAATACTAACATGGGATATATATCACATGCCTGTTAATATCATTACTTAATGTAACAATAATATTACAAAAGGTTTGATCATTTCTCATGGAATACGCTACCAAAAATTCCACGGAAAACTAATTTTTGACGAGTTCATCTATAAAAAAATAAATATGATAAAATTTATTTTTTTAACCCCAACAATCTATTGAAAATAGATTAAAGTTTTTTGTTATTATACATGTTGCATTTCTTAATTAAAAATAAAAAATAAAGTGTTAACTAGCCATGTACATTATTACCAAACAACTTCTTGACTCGAGGGAATGGGTGGGTAGACATTCCACTCCATATTAACAATGAATTTGTTTAAATTGTGATAACAGTTATGATTGAAAGTGTTTTTTATTTAGAAATTTATTAAAATATTTTTTTTTAGTTTTAAAAAAATTAAAAATAAAAAATAAAGTGTTAACTAGTGATATACATTATTACCAAACAACTTCTTGGCTCGAGGGAATGGGTGGGCAAACATTCCACCCCATATTAACTATGAATTTGTTTGAATTGTGATAACAGTTATGATTTGAAGTGTTTTTTATTTAGAAATTTATTAAAATAATTTTTTTTAGTTTTAAAAATTTACTTTTAAGATTAATATATTAAAATAATCTAAAAATATATATAAAAAATATTTTTAACAAAAAAGTAAAATTTTAAAACACATAATTTTAATCATCTTTAAAAACCTTGGCAAGTCCAGAGGAAAGTAGTGGTATTAGTAAAATGGTTGCCGTCAAGTTCTATAATTAGATGCGTTTTGTAGTGTTCTCATTCCACTTCCAAAACTGCTCGCTCCCTCCTCTTTTTTTTTTTCAACATCAAGAAAATTTTATATTTTTTAATAGCGGGTTTCTCAAAAAATTCTCATGGGATAGGTAAATGTAGTGTGCCATTAGTGGATTTATAAATTAATTGTTTAATTAATTAAATGTTAGTTGAATTATTTAAAAATGTTTTGAGAATGACTAGAAATGGGACATGTCTAATGACGAGGGGGGTTCTTAATGTAAGCAATCAGCAGCTGATTATTACTCCAACTCATTAGGCTGCTCAAAATGTAAATGGTACAAACGCAACTCATAAGTTTGATTTTTTTTTTATATATATATAGTAGATAAAGGATATTTTTAAAAAAATTTTATTTAAAAATATATTAAAATAATATTTTTTAAAAGTATTTTTAATATCATCATATTAAAATGATGGAAAAACATTAAAAAATATAATTTGAGGTAAAAAAAATTAAAAGTTTTCAAAAGCTCTAAAACAAACTTAAAATGTAAGTAGTGTTTTATATGTGTATGGTATTATGATAACGCATAATATTTTTTAAAAATATTTTGTTAATAATGTATTAATTTTTTTTTATTTTTTATACTTTTAATACCATTATATTAAAATTATTACAAATTCTAAAAAATTATTAATTTAATTTTTTAAACCAAACATGCTTTTAAAGCGGATCCATACCTAAAAACTAACCGTCGAAGCTGATGACATCTTACCACATTGATAGTTTGATTGATGAAAGACTTGACTTATCTTTGACTGAGAACAACCCGTGTAGCATGGGGTGAACAGGGCGCATGGGATCCCCGTGTGGTTTCATGAGTTGGACGTAGCCAGCCCGGGGTTCGGAGTTAGGTGACTCAGGAATGAGTGTCACCATCCAAGGCATGGCTAGTCTGCTGGTGAATTTGTCCCACCTTTGGGCCGAAACCTAAGCTCCATCCCTGAGTGCTACTAATTTTCTTCAAATGGTTGTGCTAGACTATAGTTATTTACAGGGTTGAAGATAAAATAAATGTTGACGCATAAGATTTACACTTTGTTCCTCGAGAGAGATCGAGAGGGAAGGAATGAATCGTGGAGGAGAGACTGAGTTCATTCATCGTTTAGCAAGAAGCATAAGAACTCCTTGAATGATTTAGAGGGTTCCCTCCAAATCCTCCCTTGTTTATAATTCTCAATCCTTTCAATCTGAATGGATTGGTTCATGCCCTTCAATTACTTGTTATTTTACGGTAGTTTCAATTTAGATGGTTTGACTCACACATCAATGGATAGTAAGATCCATCTTCTCTCCTCTTCATACCCGTTCTTCCTCCTATTCATCACTCCGCACAGCACATATCCTTAATTGGGAAGTGGCTACAAGTTCCGGCTTGTTATTAGAACCCATTATAGTGGTTGCAGTGTTAAATGAGAAAGTCAAGAGGAAGGGCTCAAGAAAGGAAACCCAGATAACCCTTTGCAAGTTGCAGTTCGAGGATACCTATTTTTAATGCCAAAACTGACAGTGGATGGTTACTCAATCATTGAAGACACAAGTCACCAAACAGAACCTCCCTGTTCCCTTCCAATTCACTCATTCTTGAATGACAGTGTATGCAATTATAATTTAAAGCATCCCCTCTATCTTGCTCTCTTACTTGTATCCCAAGATGTGCAACATAGACCAGCACTCCATGTTGCTTTACACTACAGCATGTTCGAGGAGTGGCTTCTTGCCTTTTGCCAGGCCGCCTCCACGACAATTTTCCAAGTAAAGAATCGAATCCTCTGTGCATCGTATCTTGTTTTGCCAGATCAAATCGGCATTTCAAAGTTGTGGGCCTGGCCTTCTCTACATCCATTATTGTTACTGCATGCCATGTTCTTTCATCTGTTCTCATCCCTGGCGATGGACCTGCTGTCAAGGATGACAGTTTTTGCCATGGATTCCTAGCCAGTAACCAGGGCTAGTAGAAGCAGAGAAAATATGCAGAAAAGGATCAGCAGGACAAAATTACATGATTACACTGGTATGTAGGGGCCCATTTTCAGGAAAAAATGAATCAACCTTTCTTAACTTGTAAAAGCATATGTTTGAATAATTGAAGAACAGGTAAAATTTGTGTCAATAATGTTTAAATCAGCGCTGATTTGTAATGCTCTAAAGAGTTTCAAAATCCCATGCCGCTCATGCCATTGCTTGCTGGGGTTTCCTTTTCAACCTTGGGAAGTTCAGACACAATTGCCTCAGTTGTAGTCATCAAGGAAGACACACTGCATACAAAGGAAATTAAATGGTGGTTGCTTCAAGAACGAAAACAAGGTTTAGAAAAATAAGGATACCCTCTTGAAACGGATTTATAAATACCTTGCAGCATCTACCAAGGCTGTTCTAATGACTTTCAAAGGATCGATAATTCCTGATTTCACCATGTCTACATACTCGCCTATCACAAATAGGAAGCAAGTTAATATCAACGCAACATGACATATAACAATCCACGATATCATACTACTTTCCATTTGGATATTGAAAGGAGAATGGTAAACCTTTGGCTGCATCGTATCCAAGGTCAGGGTTGTCCTGCTCCAATAGCTTGCCAACAACAACTGCTCCCTCTACCCCAGCATTGCTAGCAATAGTGTGAACAGGTGTCTACAGACAAAAAGGTGCTCAATTGAGAACAGACTTATGAAGTGTATAAAACTAGGCTCACATCCTAAGACTATAGACGACACTGCTTGCTTCCTTCTGTAAGGAAAAATGATTGATTGCATTCCTTGATAAAAAGAAACTTCAGAAAAATTGTATTTCTAGTAACTTGACAGAATGCGAGTTTAATAAATATCCATTGTCATCATACATTATGCAACTTCTTGTCACTCCTCCAATCATGTGCGGTCTTAAAAACTTTCAATAACAAGAATGGATCATCCATAAAAATGATTCTCTCACATTTTAAAATGAAAAAAGAAGAAGTCAATATGCATCAAAGATGAAAATTTGACCAGAAGAACAAAGGTCCGAACCTTGAGAGCATTCTGGATAATCTGGACACCGATCTTCTGATCAAAATTTGCAGTATGCAATTTGTCAAGCTCCTTAGAGGCGTAAAGAAGTGCAACACCCCCACCTGAACAAATGATGGTTTTTACAAGTTGATGCACCATTACAAACTTAGAAAGAGGTGACAAACCCAGTCAAAGATAGGCTTACCAGGTACAATGCCCTCCTCTACAGCAGCCTTGGTGGCATTCAGAGCATCAGTAACCCTGTCTTTCTTCTCACCAACTTCAGCTTCGCTGGCTCCACCAATCTATCAAGCATAACAGTAAAGCTTGGTTCTGAATAACAACAATCTGTGGCAGATGATTATCTAAAAGAGAAACCAACCTTTAAAACTGCAACACCACCAGAAAGTTTTGCTAGCCGCTCCTGTAACTTCTCTTTATCATAATCGGAGGTGCTGGTTCCGATGGCAGATCTCAACTGTTTTAATGATTGTACATTAGAAAACTATTACCAACAAAAAATAATCAAGGCAGGGCTTGAGCTTGAGGGAGACAAACCTGCTCGCATCTTTCTTCAATGGTTTTCTTGTCACCAAGCCCATCAAGAATAATAGTGTCATCCTTTGATACCGTCACCTACAATTTAGCACATGGAAATGAGTCAAAAAGGTGAGCATCATGGCAATGGGACGAAAGGGAAAGAGTGCCATAAACCATATTTTCAAAGTCTTGGTCAATTGATATACACAAACAAATAATACATTTATAGTTTATCTTACCTTTTTACATGAGCCAAGCATTTCCAATCCCACATTATCAAGGTTCAAGCCAAGCTCTTCGGTTATAACCTACAAATCATTAAAAAAATATCAGAGACCAGTTCATGCACAATTCATGTAAAGTTAAAAGGGAAACATAACTAATCACATGAACCTACCTGACCCCCTGTGAGAATGGAAAGATCCTGCAAACTGGCCTTCCTATTTTCTCCAAATCCAGGTGCTTTGATGGCACAAACCTTGAACCAATTCAAAATCCATTACCCTTAGTAACACACATAAATCTCGCATAAAGGTCAGCCTTTTCTTTGATTCAGAAACCGGTTTTTTATATGAGAGAATTACATGATACCTTGATTCCAGCACGAAGCTTGTTCAAAATGAGAGTTGCGAGTACCTCACCCTCCAAATCTTCAGCAACAATCAGCAAAGGTCTTTGCCTCTGAGAAACATAGCAAATTGGTTCAAAAATTGGAGAACATAATCAACTCATTTCAATCCTCCCAGTAAACAACCACTGACCTTCAAGGCCAATTCTAAAACTTTGACAGTAGAACTCATGCTTGAGATCTTCTTTTCGTGAATTAAAATGAGAGGATCTTCTAATTCCTGAAAAAGAATAAAAAAGAATTAAGTCTTGGAAAATTTGCATAAAGCCCTGTGACTTGAAACAGCACCCATGAGATCGTTATAAATATTGCGAGTTAACTAATTATTAAAGCATGAAGTGCTTACACACTTCTGGTTCTTGTCATTGGTGATAAAATAAGGGGATATATAGCCCCTGTCCAGCTTCATTCCCTCAACAACCTCCAATTCATTATCCATTGTTTTTCCATCCTGACATGAATTTGAGAGAGAAAAGTTCTAAAAATGATAGAAATGAGAAGGAAAGCAAAAGTTTGTTTTGACAGGATAAAAAGGCACCAACGTTGCTAATAGTAAAGACCAATAAAATTCATAAAGCCATGAAAAAATAAACCTATGGGAACAAAATAGCATAAAGGAAGAGATTGACACAAATTCACAAAACAAGGAATAGAGGTGGCAAAGTAATTTCCACCAAAGTTACTTCTTCCTAAATTTAAGCATCCAATAAATACAGGAAAAACACAGAGAGTCTAGCAGGCTTCTGATGATATAAGCAAGCACAATGATATAGGAGAAAATAATGAAAGAATTCCAAAAGCAGCTTACAGAGATTGTGATGACACCCTCTTTGCCAACTTTCTCCATAGCCTTGGCTATAAGTTCACCAATCTCTCTTTCTCCATTTGCTGATATTGTCCCAACCTTATTACAAAAGCATCATTTTAGTAATGCTTAAACTACATCCAATACAAATCTGTTTATTCCATCTAATTCTAATACTACTTGAGCATTACTTCTCTGTTTTTCTTGGTATTACTAGTCCTATCTCTTGCACTTTGAAACAAAAGTAGGACACAGCAAACCCACCTGGGCTATTTCCTCGGATGTGCTGATCATCCTTGCTCTGCTCTTCAAGCTTGTCACAACAGCTTCAACTGCCATTGAGATCCCACGTCTAAGGTCCATGGCATTCATTCCAGCTGCCACAGACTTGCATCCTTCAGCAAATATTGCACGGGTAAGGACAGTTGCACATGTGGTGCCTGCAAACATGTGAAAGAAAGCTCCTTCAACAACCCATCACAAAAGGTTCGACCATTATAATTTACAAAGAAAGAAGACTCTGATCATTCCTAACATGTGCAAGAACAAACACATTATTGCCCACAAAACATGTAAAAATTCATGGCCTCTCAACCTCAAAAAAGATAAATACTGAAAGTTCATATTCAAAATATGAGATCTCACCATCGCCTGCCACATCATTAGTAGCATTTGCAACCTGCTTCACAAGGCTAGCACCAATGTTCTTAACTCTGTCTTGGAACTCAATGCTCTTTGCTACAGTTACACCATCTTTTGTCACTTTAGGAGCCCCCCAGCTTTGTTCCAAAACTACATTACGTCCCTGTGGAGAAGCCAAACATTGAAATTTCACGAAATATTTAATTGCAAATGAAGATTGAACCTCCTCCCATCAAAACGAACCACGCAATCAACTCATCAATGCACAAACCATACAAGGTACATTTAATTACCAATCTAGTTTGTAAAAACAATTCCACAAAAGAACAAAGAAACACATGATCACAACCAAAAAACAACATCAACCAAATAAAGTCGCTCACTTTAGGCCCCATGGTAACTTGAACAGCATCAGCAAGCTCTTCAACACCTCTAAGCATCAAAGCACGAGCTTCAACACCAAATTTGATGTCTTTAGCCGCGTAATTTCTCCTCCAAGCCAATCTACTACCAATCTAAACTCCCACCAAGAAAACAAGACACAACCCCCATTAGATTTAAACAAACAAAATCAAAATCAACCGTAAACAAATTGAGATTAAAAAATTACCTGCTTGGCGTTGTTGCCAGCCACCCCACTAACAAGAAATGAACAAATAAGAGAGGCCCAGATGAGAAAACAACCGAAGTAATCAACTTTCTAGTTTAAGCCATTAACAGAGATGCATAGACAATTGAAAGTTTACTTACCTGGCTTTGGAGGCGAGGCCAGAGGCAAAACGATACATGGCTCTGCAAATAGAGTAGTGACAGAAAGAGAGTGCGGGTTTATTAGCAAGTAGACGTGGGGTTTAGTGATGGCGAGAGACAGAAAGAGAGAGAGAGAGAGAGAGAGAGAGAGAGAACAATAATGAGGTAGAAAAGCGAAGAAGGAAGAGGAAGGAAAGAGAAGCTGGCTAGGGTTTAGGGTTTTGTGTGGGGGCTAAGGCACCAATCCGGGGCGGAAGTGATGTCAAGAATCTCTGAGACCACTTGGTCTCAGAAACTGGGCTTGCTGCAAAGATGAAGGGGCCAATAAAATATTTGGGCTAAAAATAATGAGATATGGGTTTTTTTCTAAAAATAATAATTAATTAATGGGTATTTCTTATTATTTTTAAGCAAACACAAATTTTTAGTTCAGCAAATATTTTTTCCATAATTAATTTTCAGTCTCTTTTCTTAGAATCACTTTACCGAGAGGGGGGTGGGGGGTTACATTTGAGAACCAATAATCCTCAAGTTAAACCTTTCTCTTTCTATCTCTTTTTTGATTAATTTAAATTTAAACATAGTATTTGATTATAATTTCTTACATTTAAATTAATTATAGGATCAACATGTGATAAAATTTATTAAATTTTCTTAAATGTAGAAACAAGGATATGCCTTTAAAATTGTTCAAAATAAAAACTAAGTCTTGGTTAAGAGCTAATATGAAAATAGACATTCACAATATATAAAATATACTTAATAATAAGTCACAGTAGTTAGGATTTAGTCTAGCTACCTTAGCACCCTCACACTTCACAATAACAAATGGACAGCCAATGACAAATGATTAAGTGTACCTAATTAAATGCTTTTAAAAATTTATTGATCAAATTAAAGAGTTTAATTAAAAATTAATAATGGGATCTCAATTAGGTTTGGTTTAATTGATTTTCAAAACAGTGTAAAACAAAACTTGATCTAGGCCAAGCTCCAATTAACTATTAATGAATTACATGTAATATGTGGATATAAATTTAATATTTATGATCACAAACCATGGAGAGCTTATAGCTATAAGTTGCTTGCTAGGAGGAATTCGGGGTTCAAGTAGAATTTGCAGAGCTGAAAGACATCAAGAGAAGAATTTTAGAGAGCAAACAGAGAAGGAACAGACAGAACTGAATCAAAATCTCATTCAAGAACATGGCTTGGCAGAACACACGCTGCTAATTACATTAATACAACATCAAACACCAAATTGTAGGACTTAGACTATACGAGTCTGACACAAACACAAAAACTACAACAGACCATGCATAGATTAACCTCCCTACTAACGTTAAACTAAACACATATAAAATAGTACCATAAAAGAGGCAAGCTAATATGAAATTGATCCGCTGTGATCGATCTTATGGAGGATGGAGATGATCTTGGCACTCGTCAAAGGCTTCTCCTGGTAATCATCCAGGCCAGCTTCCATAAATTCTTGAATTTCTTGTTTTACGCAGCGTGTTGATACACCGGCAATCATGCTACGTATGCCCATAGCTCGGAGTTTCCTTGTTGCCTGCCATCAAAGTACTTTTTGGTTAGATCATGCACCTAGTTGTAGCTATTAAACATGGTATATATTTCATGAATGTTGATTGATTAAGGTAAGAAGGCTGCCATACCTCAATGCCATTCATGATAGGCATGTCTCTATCCATCAGAATGAGATCAAATGTTTTTCCCGAGCAATGGATGTCAACAGCTTCCTTCCCATTTCTGGCCACCTGGTTTTCTATACCAAGTTGTTCCAAGAGTCTGTGGTGAATAGTTTGATTGATTGAATCATCGTCCACGACAAGTGCAGTCATCCTGGTTCCCAATTTCCAGCTGCTATTGATGCTTGTTTCCATTTGTTTTCTCTGACAGCCCTTGCTAGTCTTATTCTCCTGTGGTTTAACTCTGAACAAGTTATAGTGCCAAGCTATTTAAGTCTTAAATATATAGATGAAAAAGTTAAACTAAGAGAGAAACAATTAACCAATGGAATTGATTAAGTTTGTGATTTTTGAGCATATTCTCCAGTCAATGTGTGCAACTCTTGTTTGGTAAATAAGGGAAATGAATGTGATGTCACAACTAAATGCATGCATCTACGAAATGAGACATGCAACTAGAACCTCAAGACAAAATAACCCATCAAGGTATGCTTCATGCTTGGCTCCAATATTATTGCTTACAGTCTACAGAAAAAGTTGCGAGCATGCATCTTCAGGATATTAATTTTTATCCATAGAGGAGGGACCTGGCTTGGCATTAATATCATGTATTTTTCGTAAAGGAAAAAGGGTTGAGGAAACATTCAATAGTATTGACAATACAGTGTGCCTGGAGATGCTTTAGAGGAAGAAGAAAAACTGATCTGGGACTGGCGGATTCCGAGGAAAGTGATCTCTCCGACTGATTCAACAGTGAAAATGCAAGACATGATCATATATGTGGAAGCAGTATCTTTTCCATGGCAAACATTGCAGTTTAAAAAGGTTTCATACCAGCCAATGACTTGGATTGTGTTGAAGATCACAAGATCTACAAAATGAGATTTTATCCCTATTTAGGAATGGCCACGATGAAGAGGTTTCCACAAAATCTTTAAACTTTTTTGCTTAGAATGGATAGCAACACGCTTTAAAGATTTGAACCAATATTTTCAGCCTGCTTTAGCGTTTCTTTCAGTTAATCAGTCCTTGTAAGGTATCCGAATTTTCATTTTAAAGGAAAAGGTTTGAGCTGAAATGATTATTGTTGTGATGCATCATTTCGAAAACCAGGTCAATTTCCTTTCCTTTGTGAGTAGATATGCTAGCATCCTGCTTTGCAGATCTGCATCACAATCTAGTATGTAATCTGCTCTTGTTTGCCCAAAAGCGACCTGCTAATAATTATCTTCCCTGTCATTTTAGTAAAATCAATAACATAGTAGGTGCATTATCAATGCCAATCCTTCCTCTTTTGTCATGATAATCCAATTTCTCAGTTCAATAAATAGAAACAATATTTAGGAATGAATTAAGACAAAATCTCACAGAAATCTTAGTGGTTTGCAGCTTTCAGGCTTCCATTCTGGTGACAACTTAAAAGTTAAGCAACTACAAGATGTTTGATTAAGTTTTGGTAATCAATCAAGGTACCGAATTTCATAAAAGATTTGCATACCAGAATTGATGAAACCAACCATATCCCTTCGGTAGCCTTTGATTACTGTCTCAGGGCAAAAGAGATGGAGATAATTCGGATAGTAACTATTTTAGAATGATAGAAAGTCATTCCAAAACTATCTCAAATATTGATTTATTTTTATGTTTCCGTCTCCATCTCTTCAACCAAACACGTACTTGTCCCTTACATGCTTGTCTCTTTTTTCATAAAACACTAATCAAACACAACCTCAAAGTATATTATTCACTGGTTAGACTGGATGACAGACTTGCTATGGATTTGAACCTTTTTGAAAGGTTAAGTTGGATGTTCACATTGCAACCCAATGAAAGAATTTTACCAATAAGCTATCATTTGGCTTGCTCATTTTATTTGACTGTCACCCATCACACATGCATCAAACTCTAATGTCTTAAGCAATGTTTTTTAGGTTTGATAAATCAGAGATCATTTCATTTCTAATTAGGTGAGGAAGAGAGCATGCCTCCTTAACCACCGGGTCAATCTCTTAAGGTTAGGAAGTAAAAATGTCGCCATACTAGGATAATAAAGCTCCAAAGCATTTTATAATGGAGATTCAGAGGAGATAATTAAGAGGACTCGACTTTATTGATAACATAGTTGCTGCTGCTACAGCTTCGTGGACTCGTAACATTGGACTCTTAACAAGGAAGCAAGGCAGGAAAAAGAAAGAGAAGAAAGGACCAACTTAAACTAATAAATGTAGCATAATTTATTGACTTGTGAAGTCCTTTATCAGATCCACAGTTCTTAAAGTTCATCATCAAGCTCCCTCAGAAGCGGCAACAGGGTCGCTGGGAAGAATGGCTTCTCAATTGCTTTATTAGCCCCAGCATCAAGAATTGCTTGCTCATGCATTTCACACCAGCAACCAGTCATGCGTATGATCTTACAATTTATGCCCTGGCATGCATATACCTGGTAGTCTATCATAAATCATAAAAGATTATAACATATCAGAAGTATGAGTTAGCAAATGCTTGATCATTTAAATTAAACACTCGCTACCCCAAGCCCATTCATGACAGGAAGGCTAATGTCAATGATAATGAGGTCAAAGGTGGAAGATGAAGCTGAAGCGAGGACAAATGCAGATGGGCCATTGCTAGCAGTCTGGGTGTCAACACCATAATATCGAAGAAAGCTCGACTGTGCTATCTGAGAAGACCTGTCACTGTCAACCAGAAGTGCTGAGATCCGGTTCCTCAACTGCAGAACAGGTATCCCACTTCGGCATCGATCTTCTGATCACCTCACAGGGATCATTTCAGGTGCCACTGTTCCTCCAGGATGAAAAATCACAAGAAAGAAAAAAAATGAGTCAGCATTTTATTGAAAGCAACAGTGTTGGCACAAATTTACGCATACAGGTTCTTCTATAGGTCATAAATTTGCCCTTGATCGGCAGAGCTAACAACAGTTTTGTTCAATGTCTATATTAGCCAACTTGTTAATTGTATCTGTAAACCCTGTCAAGATCAAGACCATGACCAATAACGGGCAACAAGATTGGACTGTCTCAATGTTAATCTACAGAGTTTATGCCTGGACATGGTATTTTCTTGCCGATAACAGTAACAACGACAAAACAACCCGAATGCAGCAACAAGCATGAAAGAAAAATATTTTCTTTGTTTTTCTTTAGAAACAAAGAGCAGTTATAAATGATTCGTCAGTTGCAATAATGGAAAGAAAAAACGTAATAAATGCAGCTTATTAAATGGAAGAACTAGTAAGAGAAGTGTTTTTCAGCAGAAAAACACCTCAATCTTCTATCTGTTTGGACATCATTTGATGCGGAATAATGAACCAAAAAAAATTAAAGCAAGAAAGAAAGAAGTTTTTAGAGAAAAAAACTAAAAATTAAAAGTAAAGGAAAAAAAAACCAAAAAAAAAAACAGAGAAAGAATAGTGGAAAAACATGCCACTCTAATTTTTATTCAAAGCATCAAAATTGTCTCACAAGCCAAAACAAAAAAAACATATAAAAAATATAACCCTAAATATCTAACTATTATACTCAATCTATTAATTAAAAATGCCTAACATAAATAATTCAAATAAATAAAATAAAATAATGAAAGAGGCCAAAATGAACCCAATCCTTAACTAAAAAGTGACAGGTTGAGTCATCCTATATCTTTTTTGTTTATATACTTGTGTAATCGGCGATGTGAATTTGGTATCCCCACCAACTCTTTTGGGATTGAAAAAAATTGACCTCATCAAGTGTAGCTATGGGCAACTTTAATAGTACTCTTAATGATCTAGGTCAATCTGCTACAAAGTATCTATAATGATCCAAGTGCAATCTGAATCAAATCGACTCACTCAATAAACTAGAAATGGTTGAACCTTACTATTACTAGTAAAAACAAGTTGTTCATCTAAAATAGCATTAATATTATCCTTTTGTGCTAAGGTCAAGGTGAAAGGGGTAAAGGCTTCAATAAAATCATCAAGGTGAAATTCAGATGGCATCTCAAAGGGATCATTTGGAATAGAGTGTGGTTTCTGGTATGCAACTAAATTCTCAATGTTAAATGTAGAGTTAATGTCAAAATCAAGAACATACATATTTGGATCAACCTGTTCTAACACTTTAAATAGCCCCGCATTACATGTATGCAATTTTTTATTAGTTCTAGAAGGAAATCACTCAAATCTAATCCATATCATAACATAGTCTCCCATATTAAATTTATTTTGTTGTCTATATAAATCAGCTTGAAGTTTATATTGCGTATTACTTGCTTAAATCTATATGGTGATCTCAACATGCAAATCTTGAATTCTATGTGCGAAATAAGCGGCTGACTCAAACACCCTAGCATGAAGAGACATGTAAAGAAGGTCTAAAGATTTCTTAGGCTTATAATCATATACAAATTCAAAAGGACTCATGCCTATTGACATAATTATTAAAGGCAAATTAGTTCGTATGAAGAACCAAATCTCAATTCTTATTATGATTATTCGCTTAACACCTCAAAAAGTTATCTAAACTCCTATTAATCATCTTAGTTTGACTATCAGTTTGAGGGTTGTAAGCACTAAAAAAATTCAATCTAGTTCCTACCATATGCCAAAGGATTTTCCAGAAATGACTCGTAAATCTAACATCCATATCTGAGATTATGGCTTAAGGAAGAAAATACAACTTGACAATCTCGTCAAAATAGAGTTTTACAACTTTGGAAGCTTCTATAATCTTAGTATAAGGGATAAAATAGGTTATCTTAGAGAAGCAATCGACAACTATAAAAATAAAATCATGCTTCTTTGTAGTACATAGAAGCCTAAATACAAAATTCATACTTACATCCTACCAAGAGTAAATAGGAACAAGCAATGGGATGTAAAGACTAGTATTTTGTTTTTTATGCATAGCTAGTTGACATATTTGACATTGACCTACCAACTTAACTATATCTTTTTTCAAAGTAAACCTAAAAAACTGACATTTCACCTCTTCAATGCTTTTAATTCTTTTAAAATGTTCTGAAAGACCTCTAGCATAAATCTCTCATATTAATAACTCACGCACGAATGTTTTTGGGATATAAAGCTTATTATCTCAGGACAAATACTGTTCTTAAAGATGATAACCATTTACAACACGGTTATTCTCATCTTTCAAAGTCATGTATATTTCTCTAAATTCTGGACAAGATTCATACTCCTCTTTGAGTCTCTCATATCAAGTAACTTTAACACTCATCATGGATAACAGCATTACCCAACAACTCAAGGCATTTGCATTTTTATTCTTCATTTTAGATTTATATTTCAAAACAAATGAATAAGCTTGCAAATATCCAACCTAATCACCATGTATATGATTGAGTTTCTTTTGG